TCTTGATCCAAATAAGGTTCATGGGGCTGGGGATGTGGCTCAAGCGGTAGTGTGCTTGCCTGGCATGCGTGCGGCCCGGGTTCGATCCTCAGCACCACATACAAAGATGTTGTGTCCACCGAGAATTAAAAAATAAATGTTAATAAATTCTCTCTCTCTCGCTCTCTCTCTCTCTCTCTTTAAAAAAAAAACAAATAAGGTTTATGTAGTTTAATTATTTGATAAGTTTTTAAGATCTTTTTTAATATAGTGCTTTATCAATTTTGCCTCATGTAATATTTGTTACCTGTTCATATTGATTCTGAAACAGTGTTCAAAGGATGAAAGACCATTGATCTTTTAAGTATCTGCCAGGTTTGATAGTGGTGTTTCAGAAAAATGCAGTTTACAAGAGTTGAGTCAATTTTCCGTTGTTCTCCAGATGCCATCTTGTGCCCAATTACTAATGCTTATTTTTGTACATGTTACTTTAAGATTTGAATTGGGACATAATGATGATTATGTTACTGCTGATGTGATAACAATGGGGACATACAGTTCCCTGGTTTTGAAATGATTTGTCCTAGGCATTTGTGCCCATAAAATAATTTCTTCCTCTTCCTTTTTCTCATCTTTCCCCTTTCTTCCTCAAAATATTATATAATATTCTTCATATGTTTATGATCATTTTCATATCACGTATAAATCAATTGTATTTGATAATATTCAAATATCAAAGAGATATGAAGAATTTAATGTCACAGGCAGTAGAAACTGAATAGGAAGTTACAGCTTGAGAAAAGGCCATTGAATTTGATGACCTGGGTGTCACTGATGATTATTATCAAGGGAATAATTACAAATGAATTATGGGAGTGAAGTTTGCATGCTGCTTATGGATAGAGACTTTGTAAGGTCCATGAAGGYAGGAATTTTGATCTCTCATTTGCTTCTGTATTTTTAATACCTCGAACATTGCTTGGTATGTTGTAGACAGTATTTGTTGAACAGCTGATTGCAAAAATGGAATCAGTGAATGTAGACTTAAGGAGAGTGGTCTTTGGGTGAAGTTTAGTGGCAAAAAAAGTAAAAGAAAATAGCATATTGATAGCAGGGGTCATGACAAATTGTTTGTTTTATTTTTAAGACTAAACCAGTTTACAGGTTGAACAGTAGAACCCACCAGAGAATGGGTGATATGAGAAATTAGAGAGGAGGCAATATAACACAAAATACCCTTGTGTAGTCCATTTCCACCAAATTAACATCACTGATTCAGTCAGATAGGGATAATTTGCCGTCGTTACTTATACATTTATCATTTCTGTCTATGTCTTGGTAGGCAGAAGTATTCTTTTTTTTAAAATATATTTTTAAGTTGTTGATAGCCCTTTATTTATTTATTTATTTATTTATATGTGGTGCTGAGAATCGAACCCAGTGCCTCATACATACCAGGAAAGTGCGCTACCCCTGAGCCCTAGCCCCAGCCTGGCAGAAGTACTCTTAATGCTTTGATATTCTTCTCTATGGTTCCTTCTTTACCTATATTCCCACTGTCCCCATAGAATACAAAAATACTCGGTGTTATAGTTGCTTGATGGTTGACTCTATGTTTTTGGAAAAGATTTGCATAGTCTTATTTTAGATGTGGGATAGTTTCTAACCACAGTACTATACTTGCTTTTCTCAGAAGGATTGAGAAAATATGTAGAAAATAATGACTTCCTTTTTGGAAGTGTACTGTTCACGGTGTTAGATCCCTTCTTCAATTTGATAAAGACGGTATTATTGCATTTCTTCCAAAGCAGAGATTTTGGTAGTAAATGTAAGCTATAAATATACTTTCATAAACTACTATTTCACAGTTATTAATCATTAAATTTATTTTATTTTGAAATAATTAGCAAGAGCTGTGAAAATGTTATTTATTTGCTTATGTACAGGTTTCACTCTTGTTATTAGGAAGGGTTTTCAGTAGAGATGTAGAGATCAGCAATTTTAATTTATGATATTAAAAGTGAAAACAGTTTTTCTGTCTGACTTCTATACTGTATTTAATAATCACAGTAAAGTTATTTTCTTTTTTATAAGGTCATCGTAACTCATAGAAAACAAATTTATCTCCATCCTCCTTCATATATCATCAACAACAACCTGATAATTTTCAACTCAGGGTCTGGATAACTATAGACTGATTTTTTGCAAGCCATCACTGCTAATGATAAATGACTTGGATTTGAAACAGATTTTCTTCCTTTTCTGTCATGACATCCACCCCAAATTAGATTGACTTTAGATTGAATATAGAAAAATAACTTAGCTTGAAAAACTTGTTGTTTTTTTCTTGATAAAATGCTTAAATATTAACTTATTAAATAATGTTAAACTTATTGGATACATTTCTGAACCTGCCCAGAATGAGGGAATTTTTGATTAAAAGACTTCCTAGAGTTCTTATGAAGAAATAAGCTTTGGTTTGCATTAGTCAGTTTTTCATTGCTATAACCGAATACCTGACAAGAACAATTTAGAGGAAGAATGACTTATTTTGGCTCACAGTTTCAGAGCTTTCAGTCCACAGTCACCAGCTACATTGCTTTTGGCCTGAAGCAAGGCAGAATATTATGGTGGAAGGATATGCCAGAGGAAAGCTGCTTTGGGACCCAGAAGAGAGAGAGATTGAGATGGGGTGGGGGAAGGGCTGAAGAAGATAAACTTTTCCAGGGCACAACCCCAGTGATCTACTTCTTCCCCCTAGGATCTATTTGTCAGTGTTCCATGTCGTCTTCAGTGGATTAATACATTAGATCATAAGGTCAGAGCCCTCACRATCCAACCACTTTTCAAAAGTCTCATCTCTGTACATTGCCTCCTTGGGGACCACACTTTCAACATAGGGAGATTTACATTCCAGATCCAAGCTATAAGTATAAATTCAATATCTAAAACTAACAGAATATTGCCAGGTACCATGCCAAAAACCCTATAATCCCAGTGACTCAGGAGGCTGAGGCAGGAGGATCACAAACTGTAGTTTAGCAAGACCCTGTCTCAAAAACAAAACAACAATATAAAAGGGGCTCAGGGTTGGGGATGTAGCTTGGTAGTAGAGCACCCCTGGTATCCCAAACAAACAAATCCCCAGTATCACAAACAAACTAAACCAATCTCACTGCCAGTAAAAAACTAATAGAATATCAATGGCATGTTACTTATCTTCAGTAATAATGAGTATACTTCTTGCTTTACATTTTAAGTATTTTATTTCCCCCATTGTTTCATCTGTCTTAACATTTTTCAAGTGTAATTGTCATCCAAGTATCTAATGCCTTTCTCTTTTATGCCTGAGAATTGTTGATTCCTATATTCCCATTTCCATCCTCTACTCTAGTAGGAGATATAGAATAATTGTTTAAAATAAAATGTATAGCCAAGCACATGAAGTTAGGCCTTCTTATACATATCTCAACTCTATGGTAAATATTACTATTTCTCCAAACTTAACATTTAATAAAAGAATTTAATAGGTGTGGGGCTATTAAATTTTATCTTATTTGCCAATGATTTATGAGTATGTGTGTTTGTATATGTGTATACTTACTTTATGTATATATAAAGTACACTACATTAGTAACCCCTAAGTATCCCCTCATATGCAGGGAATACATTCCAAGATGCCCAGTAGATGCCTGTTTTCTACCCCCTTCCCTGAAATGAAATGGCTAAGATTACTAAATGACTAATGGACAGGTCCTGTATACAGTGTGGATATGCTAGATGATTCATGTCATGGGAAGGAGAAAATTAACAGCCTGAGTTTTCATGATACCATTCAGAACAGTAAGCAATTTTAAATTTATACACTGTTTATTTCAGGAATTTTTCCATTTAAAATTTTGGGCTACCATTTACTGTGAGTGACTGAAAAGTGTAGAAAGTGAAATTGGATAAGGAGAACTACTGTATATAATTATATTCTGGCATTCTGTTTTTCATTAACTCCATGCTTAAACTCTTCCAGAATTATTGTGTTCTTAGCAAAATTTTCTGGTGGATACGTTGTGGAAGGTTTAGCCCTACTTGCTTGTTGTACCAACTTGATAACATGTTCCCCCAAGTAGATTGTTTATTCTTACTAAGTAGTATTTATAAACTGTTATATGTACTTGATATTAGACTTAAACATCCTTGTTTTAATGTTAAGTTACATATGTAAATAGAAGTTCAATATTTGTGTGTACTCTTTTTGGGGGTTATCTGTAGGCATATAAATTATTTCTTTGGAGCTTCTATTATACCAGCAATTGGGAGTAATCAGTTTTAGTTATTAGTTAAATAACATATACTTCTCTAATGACAGTTTTTGGTTTATCTGGGGTCCCCCTTTTATTCAAATATATGAGAAGATTTTTATTGGTGTATATAAGAATATCTTTTTTAATATTTATTTTTTAGTTGTAGTTGGACATAATACCTTTATTTTATTTATTTATTTTTATGTGTTGCTGAGGATTGAACCCAGGACCTCACACATGCCAGGCAAGCACTCTACCGCTGAGCCACAACTCCAGCGCATAAGCATATCATTGGTTGTTCATGGTGGTGAAAAAATGTCCAAAATTGAGAATTTATCTTTCACTTTGTCAGTGATTCTTGTAATTTTTGATTAAATGGTAATGATAGCAAACCTTTCGACCTTTTTGAGACTGTTTCTCCAGACTGGTACTATTTCTTCTAAACCATATTGTTTTTATTTTCAGAGAGAATGTTTGCTTTTTGTCTCCATTTCCTCTGTGTCTTTTAGCACACTATTGGAAATAATTTTGTATGTGCACAGAAAGGATTAGGTGTATGTAAATGAGTTTGGGTTAAGACATGATTTTGTGATAACTATTTAGGAATGGTCACAGCATTGTGAGTTCTGAGGTGAATAAGTGATGAGAACATTACCAAAGTGTCTAGTCCTATAAACATACCTTTTTGCTGACAAAAATTTTTCTGACTCCTGTGTATCGCAGCTGTTGAAAATGGACAGATAGATGTGTTAAGACTATTACTTCGACATGGAGCAAATGTTAATGGATCCCATTCTATGTGTGGATGGAACTCCTTGCACCAGGCTTCTTTCCAGGTAATCTCTGAATTTATTATTTCATTTCCATGTAAATTGTGTGTTTTACCCTTTCAAAATGACAGTTCTGTACAGTTTTTGCTTTCTACTTGCCTGTGATTTATGATGGTTAGTGCAGCACAGAAAAGGCAGTCTAAATGCTAATGATCATTCTGAATAAGCCAACTGCTATAGTAGCTGTAGCAACTTTGGGCTATAAGGATTATTTAAATTTTTCAAATGTTGATAGCATAGTTAACAAACATCAGAATGTATGGGATGTAAATTGATAAAGAGCAATGGCTTCTTTATAATGGTGTGTTTAGAACCTGTGTTATCTCCTTAGTGCTGGGTTAGTAAACTAATTTTGCAAAATTTCATAAGGATTATAATCCCTAGAGATCAATATTTAATCTGTTTACATTTATTGGGCTAGCTAAAAGTATGGTATAATTTCATTGTTTGGTCATTTCCTTCCCAACCAATACAACCATAAATTGTTTCGTTGATTTTTTTCTTCTTCAAGTTTTCCTTTACTGAGAGGATTAAAAAGAAAAACAGAAAAAAAATACAATAAGAAAAAAAGATACCTTCAACTTTTTTCCTTTTATTTAAAATATGAATCTGTGCTTTAGGAAAATGCTGAGATCATAAAATTGCTTCTTAAAAAAGGAGCAGACAAGGAATGCCAGGATGACTTTGGAATCACACCTTTATTTGTGGCTGCACAGTATGGCAAGCTAGAAAGCTTGAACATACTTATTTCATCGGGTAAGATTAATTCATTAGCCTTTGCACTGTTGATCATAAATTTTAACTTTATATCTTCTTAGGAAAAATAATTCTTGACCAATATATAAATAAGTTTATGAAATTAATGGTTTTATGTACATGGTAAATAAGCATATATATATATATATATATATATATATATATATATATAT